CCACTACCGCTACCGACAGACGACATCATGGACTTGCTAAACATTTGCCTAACGTCTACTTACTTTCAGTACAACGGTAAACACTACAAACAGTTACACGGCACTGCCATGGGGTCTCCAGTTTCTGTTGTTATAGCAGAAATTGTGATGCAGAACATCGAGGAACGCGCCCTTTCGACTTGCCGACAAACGATACCGCTTTGGTTACGTTACGTTGACGACACATTCACCGCCGTTCGACACGACGAAATTGACGCATTCCACAACCACCTTAACGAACAAAACACTGACATACAGTTTACCAGAGAAGTCGAAGAAAATGGCAAACTTCCTTTTCTAGACTGCCTGGTAAGCCACAACGACAACTCATTACGAACGACAGTTTACAGGAAACCGACACACACCGACAGATTACTAGACGAGTCATCCTACAACCCTACATCACACAAAGCCACAACTATCAGAACTCTAACACGACGCGCACAACTAGTATGTGACTCGACAGACAGCTTATCCGACGAGAACAAATACCTTCACCGTGTTTTTACGAAGAACAACTACAACAACGACTTCATCCGACGAAACACTCACCGACCCACTACCACTACCGAAACAAACGACACCGCAACCCCTACGACTACAGCAACCATACCGTACATAAAAGGCATGTCTGAAAACATCTCGCGCATCTTACTACCCTTCAATATCCGCGTCGCCCACAAACCCATCACCACACTACGTCAGTTACTAACCAACGTTAAAGACAAAGACGAACCGAGGAACAGACAGGGAACGATTTATAAGATCAATTGTTCCGACTGCCAAGCCTCCTACATCGGTGAGACTGGCAGAAACCTCACAACAAGACTGACTGAACACAGACGGGCGACGAGGAAAGGTGATGTCAGCAATCACATTGCTGAACACCATCGACTTACCAACCACAACATTGACTGGGACTCTGCGCAATGCCTAACCTACAGCACTGACTATTTTCAACGACTGACTCTGGAAAGCTGGTTTACTAACTTAGAACAGACTCCCCTAAACAGATGTCAACAACTACCCGCTCCATACAAACGACTCATTCACGACATAAACATCACAAACGACCGAAAAAGAACGACCTAACTTTACCGACAGATCGAAACAGACCAATCACGACCGACTTACGTCACTTGAGTCTTACAGCCAATAACATCACGGCAAAACCAACCGATCATTTCACACGAACTGGAATAAGAACATTCTACTGACAACAATCATTCACTTGACTCTGATGATGACTTCCGCACAGGTTGTCGAAACGTCAGTCACTACCACCGACAACAGTCCTTCTCAGGACTACACTCACCCGGACGATCAGACTACACCTTCACATGTTACCCCCGGGTTCAAACCATTTACTGCAAAGAAAATTTTACTAAAGTGCCGAAGGAGACTGAGGTATGGCGATAACAGATGGATTTCGTTGTGAACTATGTTGACTCAAAATCATACATTTGGTTTTGTTTTGATTTAAATCTAGGAAAGTGGCTCTTTAGGATTGGAAAAATTACGAAAAAAGAAGCCATTTATTTTTTAACCAAAGTTAAATATCTATCATTGCAAAACCAATTACTGTTAATTTTACAAAGGTAAACTTCCACTATTTTAATTATGCTAATATCGGAGAGAAGGAATTTTTCTCTCATTAATATCTTGCAATAGTTCCATTATTTACTGTGTTGTCAAAATAGCGTAGTTAAGTTTTCATAACATTAAATTATTTTGGAATTTATTTTTGTGTCTGTTATTATCACCATTCAAATTCAAGACAGATACCAGTAATTTTAATCAATCAGTTACCTTAAACCAATTGTCAATCAAAACCAACTCAGACCAACCCATCCTTAACTCCCACCCCCCATCATATCAATCAAAATATTCAGTTCAAAATTTTTTTTAACTCAAAAAAACTTTTTTTGGCTCCCTATACCTAACCTCTTCTCCGAATTCACGAACATAAGCAGTGAAGAGTTTATATCCGGGGGAGAAGACCTTATGATAAAAAATAAACCTGTCCAACCTACCTATAAATCGCTAAATATCGGTCCATGAGTTTTACAACGGCGAACAGGAGAAATAGAAACGTACAGCGACAAGAGTGAGGATAACTTTGATTATCAAAGTGAATAGCTGGAAACTAAGAGGAGAAGCACACTAAGTTTCTGCACTGTTTTGTTTCCAGTTTTGTTAGAATACATTATTGAGAAATAAAAATATTGTTAGGATATTTGAGTGTCATTGGGCACGAAGAAAAGTATGACGACGGTGTGACCCCAGAAGTCTTCTACGTTACACAGGTACAAGCAATCGAACCTTTTTCTGTATTCTTTTTCTTTTATTCCATTTTTTTACAACGATTTAAAGTGGGCCACAGAAATATACTCAACTTGACCTCGGCACTGATGACTTAAAGTCCATCGGTTGTTAAGAAACACGTAATACAAAACGAACACACACAACGATGAACACACACTCACACACAAAGGGAAAAAAAGAAGAAAAGACAATGTAATTATAGTCTGACGACACATACCGATCGTTATCACGATTTCTTTTCCTGTCATCCTATGTGCCATAAAAGATCTGTTGTCAACACCTTACTGAAAAGAGCAAACAACATTCCATCTACCAATAAAGGCAGACGGGAACAAATACAACGAGTAAAGGCCGTTCTGCGAGATAACAATTATCCAATGCCTTTTATACGGAACTGTGAGACGTTTCGTTGTTCTGATTAGCCGATGCGGCCATTCTGAATACTGAGCCATGCGCAATCCTACAGAAAGGATACGATACCACAAGACCTGCGTAACCGTTAATCTGTGTCTACATATTCATGTATCAGTTATTATGCTCTAACCACACACGAAATCATTTGAAATCGCATAAACAATACTCTGCACTTTACTAATGGTGATTCTAGTCTAGTTAGCAACGTTTATGTCCTCTTTAGTAGGTAGTGCTTCAATGGAGTAATGCTATGTACGAAAACCTTTTTTAAAAATCCCGTTTAAGGGTAAGACCACTTTGAGTTCGATTGAGTGAGAAATTTGCGGATTTTCCGGCCCGGAATTATCACGATAGCTCTCTGCTTTAACCATTTGCTTCGTATTTAGTTTACCCTGAGCCATCAAAATCTTTAGAACTCGGCTTCGAAGTTGAGGGTCAGATTAATTATAACGGCATCAGCGCCGAGAAAGAGAAAGACAACGCACGAAAGGAAACTACACAGGCACATGGGGCATTGGTCGAGGCTCTAAACAGCTCAAATGACAACGATTGCTATTCATCCTTAAACCTGATTGACCAAGAAATTAGACCTGTTTCAACAAGCCATCCCCAATCTTCTAGCTTTGGCACACATACAAGCATTACTATTTACCACAGCAAGATCACAAGACTCTAAACGGTACAATGAACGACATCTACGAAAAACTAGAAGATTAAAGCTGATTCGATTAGGAGCTTGTATTGAAACAATTTATATCAACAACATTCTTGTACGAGATCAAGTTTGACCTTCTTGGTATTACTAAGACCCACCTTAACTCAAGTGTGTCAGACGATTGGATCAGAATTTCTGGATATAAATTCGTGAGGAGGGATCGCGGTCCCTGTGGAGGTGGTGTTCTGATATATTTCAAAGAAGATCTTACTGTATACCCTTCTGTTTCTTGGGAAAGACCAAATTTAGAAGCATCATGGATGAACATCACCATGAGACCCTAATCCTTCCTTGTTGGCTGTGTCTACAGACCACCCGATGACTCCTCCTTTTTCGACTCTTTCAGAGACCTGATTGCAAATATCTGGCTGAAAAGAAAAAACGTAATCCTTGTTGGCGACTTCGACTCTGATATGTTGCACAAACCTAACAATAGGGAATCCGAATATGGAAAACGCCTACGAGGGATTCTATGTAGCTGTGGACTAAAAAACATTATCAACAGCCCAACCCGTATTACTGTCACCTCCAAGTCACTTATTGACCTCGTGATCACTAGTCAACCCTCAAAAATCCAAACCTCTGGCTCCATCGACCTGGGTATCTCTGACCACAACCTAATATTCGCAGTCTTCAAAGTTACAAGAGGTAATGCAAAACCCAAAGTTATCCCAACCAGGAATTATAAATCACTTGACACAAGGCAACTTAGTTGGACGAATATTAAATAAACTATGATGATGATGATGATTCGCCACAACAGGCCAATCAGGGATTAATTTACCCACAATGCCACTCACTTTATCACCCATTCCTACCCCCTCCCTCACACATTTGGAGCCTGTTTAAACGCTTTTCCTTCTTTTATTATAATAACATTAAGCTTTCTACAATATAACGAGCAAAATAAAGGTCCTTTTTTTAAAAATTAATGAAACTTTCTTTTTACAGTAGCACTGTGTTGTCGAGTATTAACCGTTTACAAAAAAAAAAAGCTGTCCTAAAATAAGCGTAATAATCAAGCCAATAAACATAAAGGTACGGTCAGCATGAGTTTTCCAAATGAATATTTCATCCTACTCCACTTCGATTCTAACAACGACTGTGATCTGTCTTGTTCGAATGTAGCATTTACTTATACTAGAAATTTAAAGACAGAATTTTCATATCAGCTTAACGGCTTTGTAGATTTTTTTTTATGCTTAAAATAACTCCACTTGAATCGAAAATTGTAACATACTCCTAGCTTACCAACAGTACACAGTACATGTACTTTAGGTGAAGACAGTAAATTCAATATATTAACTTCTGGGGATTACTCATGTTTTATATGTGTGATTTGTTTTCCGAAAGTTGACTACAGCTCTTATAATAATTTTCCCACAACCAAAATACTTTATACAACTACACGTAACATCATAACATCACCTATTACAAAAATTCTCATAACAAGGTATTTTTTTGGGACGAACAGGAATTTCCAAATATTTAACAGATGAACTATGACATCTTGCAGTTAATCTTTAAAAAAGTGAAATGTTCTTAATATTTGCCTCGTCACCAGAAGTAGAGCAACAATTATAGTATGGAAGCCATTTGCACAATGGACTTCAATTTTCTATTCCCATATTCACTTAATCAGAACAATAATGGAATTCTGCTGCACATCATTAAAAAATATCAGAATGTTCTCCATAAGCAAAAAGGCCCAGTGTTTTCCCCAACTACAGCAGCTAGACAAAGCAGTAAAATACCTGTCTTGATCTAATTTTGATTTTTTGCTGGCTAGAGTTGTTTTTTCCCATTTAGGGCTGGTTACTAAAAAATCTCTGGAGAACTTGATTTCATGTTAACATACGATTCCTATATGTTGAAAATTTGCCACATTACAGTTCACCCCTCCATTCTTTGTTAACAGCCAATACATTTGTAATTAAGGTTAAACTTGAATTGTAAAGGTTACAACTTCCAGCTGTTGTGAAATGTGATAAACAGTGCAACAGCCACTGTTACCAATGCTTGATGCCTGACAACATAATGCCCTGGATATTACTCAATGTCTTCAGGATCTGCACCCAATATGGCAGCAGGTGGGTGTGGCCCGGCACCAGCTGCTGCCAGTGCAGCAGGCTCATCTACAGCCTCCACCAGTCCTGGGGTTCCTGTCTTGGTTTTAACACACTGGAAGTCAACATGACGACTTTTGCTTTCTTCCTTCTCCCACGACATTCGTACGAAGGGTCGTTGAACATAGTTGTAAATTACTAAAAAGAGAAAGAAGCAACTCAAGAATACTTGGTTGTACTGAGGAAAAAGGGTTTCAAATGTGCAAAGACTGGCAAGACAATCCAACAAAAACTTTTAACCTTATTCATTTCACATAACTTAGGGCAAAAGTAGATTACTTTTATTTATTACAAAAAATAAAATTGAAGGAGAAGGGCTGGCCATCTGGAAATAAATGTATCATTTTCAGCTTTTGGTTGGCCTGAATCAGGAATTACACAAAACATAAAATGAGTGCTGGTATTTCCTTAAAGAAGAATCTGGGCACTTATTTAAATATTGAAGGAGCGTGCTTATTAAATTTGCACATCCATAGGACAAAAATTGCCAAAAAAAGAAAAAAGATAATGCACATAACAGAACTCTGTAGGTACACAGAGATAAAAATAACTGGACATGACTTAATGAAACCAAAGCTATTCTCCTGTACTAATTCCACTGTAGTTGAAGCTTAAAAAGTTGGTTGCAAGTTAAGTGGCCTTAGAACAGTGCTCGACCCTAACTTTTCAACTTACTAGCCAGGTGGCTAGTGACAACTTAGATGTTTTTAGAGGTTAAGACAACTTCAGTCTGTTTACTAGCCAAACTGGCAAGTGAAAATTGAAAACCACAAGCCAAAAATGAATTTCTACTAGCCTATGGCTAGCTAGTGGGCTACTAGCTAGTGGGCTACTAGCTAGTGGGCTACTAGCTAGTGTCGAGCCCTGTTATAAACAGGTTTGCTTTGTATCCCTACTATATAATAAAGTGAGGGGGGAGGGGAGGCAGTGCTCAATTAAGAGGCTGAAAGTTTCTAAAGAAACCGTGGTGCTGTGTCAGTGGGAGTAACAAGGTAATTTGGTTATATCAACTACAGCTGTAAGTTGAAATTGTACATTGGCCACCATAATGTAGGGCTAACCTTCAAAACGTCAGCTTTTTTATTCATTATGGTGGCCAATTTACAATTTCAACGTAGTTGATATAACCAAATTACTCAATAGCCCATTGCAGAAACGTGAGAGGACTTGGACAAGTTTCTTATATTGATTACATTGAAAATCTAAACATTTCAGCCAAGATGTTACCAAATGAAAAGCTACCCAGCCAAGTTTGAGAGTCTTCGGCGGAAAAGTGTCCAAATCGGAGCCTTGCAAAAGTTGCCAAAATTCCATACAAAGCCTTAAAATTTTTTAGCCTGCCTACCCAATCCATACAAACTCTCTATTTTAGGTGATATTTGAAGAGCTGTCATTTTGCCATTTTCCTCCTCTAAATAGTTCTATTCTTACTCAAGACTCTCAAATTTAGTTGATCTTTCATTTGAATATCTTAGTTTTTCAAACAAATGGAAAACAACCACACTCTTTCCCAGTCCTCTCACATTTCTGCAATGGGCTAAGGGAGTGGGCTCTTATTCAGGAGAGGGTGCATATAAGAGCTTGGATGGTTATTCCAGGAAAGACAGTATAAGGAATTAGTAGCATATTAATTTTAGAGCAAATAAAGTTATGTGACTACCATCGTGTATAATTGTATAACAATTCTCACAACACATGAAGCAAAAAATGCTGATAGAGCAGATGAACATGAAGTTTATATCAAAGGTAAGAACAAAACCTTTTGTCCCAAATAATTATGCTATATAATTGGTTTGGGTTTTAGGTCAAAACCACATACAAAACCACATGGCTACTGTCAAGAGCTTCTTTGCACATGCTGGGAATGAAAACATTATTAACAACATCAAATGTGATAATTCTCCTTGTGGATGAGGCAAATCAATCTAACCTTCAGGTCTCCCTCCATTTGGCCTTTGTTTGATCTTCTCCTTATGAGTAGGGTAGCCTGCAGAAATAAAGGCCAGTGAGATATTGTTTGTTGAATCCAAGTAATGTTTTAAAGATTACTTAGAAAAACATAATTTATTTCATTACATGTTCCTCAAAAGTTAAGTTAGATTGCTTATGCTTATCCCTTTTCACTACCTCTGGAGCATAGGTCCAAGGAAACCTCACCCCATCTCCTTCTATCCTGGGCCAGCTTCTCTATCTTCTCCAGGTTAGATTAATCATCAAATAAAAGATTTTTTTTAAAGAGATGCAAGTGAATTTTCTTTGTGTTATCATAATTGCAAGTGCAGTGGTTCTAAAAATAAGTGTACAATAGAATGAATAATTATATTAAATGCAATGAAAGAAAGTGACTCCAAAGTAGTTGGTTTCTCTTCATCCCAAGAGAAACCCACCACATTCTTGTCAACTCCTTCTACACCATGTCTTCAAAATGTAAAATGAACATTTTTCCTTCTAGGTGTATGAATGGTTTTTGAACAATAACCTTCTATTCCAAGCCTGATTTTCTTAAGCCCTCTTTCCTTTAGCACCTCTTTGGCCACATCACGATTTTCAAAGTACTTGAAGAATCGGTAAAGAGATGTTGAATACACAACTAAGTAACAAAGGAAACAGCAATGAGTAAATAAACAATGATTGGGAAAAACGAGTTATTCAGAGGTAACTATAATGATGCATCGTAGCAGGTTTCTTTAGTTTGTTCCATAAACAACACCTCGTAACACCTTACAATAAGAGTGGAATCCATGACTGTTGGAGTACAATATTTTTGTTGGCACTTAATGACTTAGTCCTTGGGTCAATTAAGTCTGAAAATGATTCACTTCTTTGGTCAATCAGATTAAAAAAAAAAAGCACTGTTCCTAATTTAACCATCACTGGCTACAGCAGTCTGAGTATATCAACTGAAATGCAGTCATGGAAAATACTAGTCTCCAAATTTTGAAATTAATTTTTTGAACCATGGCAACGTTACCTCAGTCTGTAAATTTGTTAATAATCGTTAAAAAGTTCTTTGAATCCATAGTTCTCAACTCTCAAAGCTAAGCTCCCAGAAGTATCACTAATGCCTGAAGGCTCTCGTTTCAGAAATTGAGGTGGTCAGGTTCTTACAAAAAGGTAATAAAACAAATTTATAACAGTCAGCCACAAACAAAAGTTTCTGATGTATAGTCTATAGCATCCCTGACATGTTAGAGCACAACCTCGAGTCAAACATGCAAGAGTCCAAGAAAATTTCAATTGAGTTATTACTTACTGTGAGTATACTCCTCCCCCATACTGGGTGGATACTCTTCATCCCAATCCACCACATCGTCATCAGTAAGGATCACTATGTGACATTCACGGTCCCCTTTCTGTAAACAAATTTGCAGATTTTATATTACATAATTTATGTGTGCACTCTCAGTAAAAGACAAAGTAAGCTTGCATTAAATACACAGCTGTTCACACTGTGTAACTTTGCAGAGTAAGCTACTACAAAGAAGTGACTGTCAGTGATGATTAATTAGTTCAATCCAAAATCAAAAAGTACCAATTTATTTCATTCTAAGGAGACAAAACATGATCAGGGCAAGTACTCTGTCAATTTTATAGCCAAAGCAAATTAATTTACAAACACAGATTACCAGCATGTGTGAACCAAACTGTAAACCTGACTCTTGCCCCTAAGCTTTTATTTGAATTGTTTCTTCATCTACACTGAATGTAAACATAGCATGGCATAGCAGGGTCCCTAAGGTGATATCTGACTGGAAGCAGGATTTAGGTTATTGAGTTATTTTACCTTGGCTGAAGAAACCATAACAGGTAGAATGTACTCCTCAACAAAATATTGAAATTGGTTCTTAGCACCATCATTTGACAGTTCATGAAGAAGATCCCCTGCAAGAAAAATCACTTTATAAGGTTAGCGCAGGCAACAAATCAGCTAAATAGTCTACATGGTGCATTGAACTCCACACAAAATGGACCCAGCTTGAGCCAAGTGCCATGGCTTGGTCACTACACTGTGACTTTAAAGGCAAGACACCATTACGGTGCCTCCCTTCCCAATACGGTATAAATTAAAGTAGAAGCTCACTGTCATGAAAACTCTAGAAATATTATAGCATACTTGTATCTTTTTTTGGACTAGCACCCAATCAAGGAAGGTTAGAAATACTCCTTGTCACTTCCTGGAAAGTGTACTGGCATGGCAGTAAAAGAAGTGTCTCGAATGCAGACTCAGATTCACATACATATGGGCGTGGGCTAATATAATGTGCAGTACAATGTAGCAATAATAATAACTATTAATAATAATTATGCAATCATTATCATCATTATATCTATCATGAAATCATTATTCATAGAAATACAACATAAGTGTGACTTATCAAATCCAATATTTGACAGAGAGATGCATAAATGGTGAACCAGTATCAGAATTTTTGTACTATGCTCAGCCTTGATGTGTTCTTTAATTATGTTTTCAATAAAGGCAAGGTTACTCAAAAGAAGTGATTGTTGCCATTTGAAAGTAGTTTCAGAGAAACTTACTTAAATTCTGACATCTGACCACTTGAGCATTAAATGGTATAAGCAGATAATCACATGCTTCACGAAGTTCTGGAATTTGTACACTTGGTGGACAGTTAATCAGACCTGTTTTATAGTAATCCTGTAAAAAATCATAATACATTTTCAAACTATATCAAATACTTACATGTACTGTTAAACTCTGATCTTAAATTTGAAATCTTACATGAATTTTACCAACAACTTTGCAGTGAAAGTTGCCAAATTAGTGACTTAAGCATTTGGCTTTCGTACTTCGCAGCTGCTTGTTTTTGGCAGTGTAGAATTATAGTAAGGAAAAGTACAATAAGTTTTTGCATAAATACAAGCCATTTATTTCTTTTGATAAAAATTTACTCCTTTCTCTAGGTTGTCCAAATATTATTTTAACCTTGACATGTCACACAAGCCTCCAAAAAGCAGAATTGGGAGCCCAGAAATTGGTTTTGTTTTAGCTATATTTTGCTCCTGGCTAGTATCTCAAAAAATAAAAAAGCCGAGTACTGCATCACAGACAGAGGGTGCATTCTTTGAAAGTGAACTGAGAGCCAAGACTACCCAGACCGGAAAAGTTCTGTCTATCTCATACAAAAGCTTTTGAAACTATTATTGGTTACTCTATCTTTGTCTCAAACAAAATGCCTAAAGGGTGCTGGTACACAATTAATATACATGTTCCCTTTCATAGACAGGTAAAAATGAATGATATAAAATCCCGACGTTTCGGTGACTTCATGACGCCATTATCAAGGGTACAAATGAAAATAAAATTAACAAATGCGAGTTCAAGACTTACAACTAATTGGCCAAGACCTTAAAGAATGTGAAACCAAACCACAGCTGGTTAATCAACAGTGCATAGTGTACCAATTTAAATGTAACCTGTGCGATACAGGGAGCTATGTTGGTTACACACGTGGGCATTTATATGCCCGCGTGGATAGCCATAAGAGCATGTCATCTTCAGTAC